CAAGGGTTTGTCTGCTTTTGTTTCTATGATTGTTGTCCACGAGCCCGGAGGGTCAGTGAGCTGGTGATGGAGTCCAGTCCATACTGTGGCCCTAGTGAGAAGGATTATGTCAGCACAGAGGCTGTACTGTTCTCCCTCTCTCACTCATTCTCACTTACAGTCTAAGGCTGTTGTTGGCAAATTGTGATGCATTGGAACAATGTTGTTATCCAAGGAGCGCTTTGTGTAATGAGTGTTGTAATGTTATACACAATGTTCTATAGATAGCATTCAAGTGAAGTGAGGATGGAGAGTAGAGGTTAACAATTGATGACATTTTTAATGATTTTACACCTTTATAAAAACATTTTATAGCCTTATTTTTTTCCAATTTTGGAAAGCATGGATATTGATGGAGAGGGGGCAAATATCCGGGAAGCACTTAAAATTTCCTGGGAACTGATATTGCTCTAACGTGCTTCCCAAAGCAGCTCCTCTGTTTCCTCTTTTTTTGTTCAACAGCCCTATTCCCTTCCTCTTGTCAAAAACATTTACTGTCTAAAACATTATTAGAACAGGAGATTAGTATTAGTATGATCTTATGATTTGTCTTTTGAAGCTAAAATGTCCTAGAAAAGCCCTGGAAAATACTTTAATTTAAAGAGAGGAAACTCTAAATAATTGTGCCACACAACCTACAAACACTGCATAAATAATTCACTGACCTCCAGCAGTTCAGTACAGTCTTGGCTGAGTGTGTTGTCTTAGAACCACTTAGTTCTTGCAACTAGTTGGTTAATTGTTTTGCATTTGTAAGGCAACCAAAAAAAACGTGAAAGTAATTTCAAGGTATTTAAATTGCATCCTAGCATCATTTAATTAGGGAAGGTACAAGTCTTGTCTGCTTTCTTATTTTCAACATAATTGTTCTGGCGTCTCCCTCGTCAGTGTTAAATCACAGTCTACAAGAAAAATAGTTGCTCAAGGAGGTTAATAGTGCAGATGGACATTCTTACACTAAGCTAGGGTCACATTGTGGTGCCCAGCAGCTGCTGCTGCTACCACTACTAACAGACTTTCCCTAAGTGTAATCTGCCAGACAGAATGTCTGAGAGGGAACACGGAGGGGGAGGCCCTGTTGAATGTCTAGGTAGCAAGCAGTCAAAGTCACCCTGCAAGTCTTCCTTTATGTATGTGCCCCGTGCGCCACTGACACCCACCGACAGCTGTGGGGGATAAAAATAGCTCTGTGAAGAAAAGTGCAGAGCCCTGGGCAAGAGCACTTGGAGGGAGCCTCTGGGCAGGAAGTCTGAGCAGAGAGGAGAAAGCAAAGGAAGCCATCTACAGGTTGATGTTGTTAGCTCAGTCTTTGATGACCTACAAAGGAAACTTTTCTCCAAAACGTTTTATAACCTGCAAATATAACTGTTATTGTTTTAGGGATTTTATAAAAGCTTGATTGTAGAGAAATCATCAAATCAATCAATCAAATAAAAAAAATACATCTTTTTAGTGATGTAAGTCTTACTTAACATCTTAATGTGGAGCATTTCCTTTCTGCCAGCAGAGCTGTGGACAATGTTGTTGCCACATGGTTTTAACCCAAAATATCATTTTAATTTAGTCTTGAAGAACCATTCGTCTTGACCTGTCTTTACTGTAACTGCCTGACTTCAAAGATCAGACTGTTGATTGTGCAGGTATTTGACAGCAGTAAACATTCAGCTCCTCCTCCTGATACTTTATTAAGTTACTGTCCAATTTGTTTGTAAGTGGATGAAGGTAATCATTTTAATTGCAGTGGCAAAAATAACAGCAGTACCTTAAGAGCAGCACAAACCAGGGCGGTGTTACAGCTTTTTGTTGACATTTCTTTGTTCACATGATTACAGTTAATTAACCCAAATAACTAACCTTGAATATGTTCTGTTAAAGTTTTCTGACTTTTCTGTTGTGGTCTTCTGCAGATAATCCAGTATCAGACGGTGCGATACGACACTTTGCCTCTGTCGCCGATCTCCAGAAACAGACTCAGTGAGTACACCATTGTTTTCCTAACACCAACACTCTGCCAAAGGTTTGTGTGGAAAATGGCACGCTACAGTAGTTAGGACTCTCTGAGCAATATGTTAAGCTAGATTTATTCATTCATTCATTATCTATGGCTTTTGTGGTCGTGAGGGGCGCTGGAGCCAATCCCAGCTATCTACAAGCGAGGGCGGGGTACACCCTGGTCAGTCCATCGCAGGGTTACATGCAGGGACAAACAAGCATCCACACTCCTATTCATACCTATGCTGAATCAATATCAACCTACTCTCCTATTAACCATGTTTTTGGGCTGAAGCAGGAAGCTGTAGCTCACATGGGGAGAGTATGCAAACTTCATACAGAAAGTCCAACCAGTAATGGAAACTTGTGCACCAGTGATTTCTTGTTGTAGAGGCAAGCATTATACCAACATTTGCCACTGTGTGGCCCTGCTAGATTAACTGTTAATGTTATATTTGATGGCCTGATGTGAAGACGCCATTAAACTAGTTCTATGAGGGTATTCAAGAAGAAGCTGAACCTGTTCTTCCAGGACAGAAAACAATTGCGCAGAAGTTATTGACATTATAGCACTGCACTGCCATGTGCTGTGAAACCTGTGGATTTTCTTACTCTTCTGGTCATCAATAACATTTGACTCAGATATGTTATTTCTTATAATTTTTGTGGCCTGTCTCTGGATTGTGCTTCGCAAGTCTGTTTATTTGGCTGGATCACAGGGTAAGACGCAATGCAAACCTGAGTCTTCGCGCTCTCTTTCTCTCTCTCTCTCTCTCTGACTCTCTCGCTCTGTGTCTCTGTTGAGTGAGTAATACTGTTGTATGCTGTTGTTTGTCTAGTCATCGCATCTGTGCAAACCTTGTTCTTCTGTGAGAGTGAAATTAAACAAACTGACACCACCTGAAGAGTGGTTTTGTTGTCACAAGTTTATTTCATTTGAGACTTCAGCTCATTCAAATAAAATGACTTTGGTGCACATTGTAACGTGCAGCAATAAATCAAGAAAAGCGTCAGTAATGTGCTCTCCTAGAGTTCTAAATTCTGAAAGTATAAAGAGTAGTTCACTGCAGAACTTCTGAAGGGGTAGAACTCCTTTAGCTCTCACTGTGTTTGTGCTGCTCGTCTGTACCATGGACAGTCAGAGTTAGAATTCTTTGTTGTCATTGGAACATTGTACAAGTTATTGTGCAATTCTCCTAGTGCAGACAGTCATGCATGTAACAAGCTATTTAAAAATAAAAGAAAGTAGGAATAAATATATTCCTAAGATATTCTTTTAATTTTATATTATAATTGTTTAGGAAAAAAACATAAATAATAAAAATGTGAAGGGAATAATAAAATTGAACAAAATACATAAACTAAGAGAAGCATGTAGCGTTGAATGTAAATACCACCCATGCTGCCATGCCATAGGGTCCGGGGTGGGGTCCCCTGGACTTTGGTCTTAAGTTGGTCAGCTGCTTGCTAGTCATTGTTTCTGACCTGAACACACCTATGGCACAATCTCTTCCATATTTTTGAAGGTTTGAGCAAAGCCAGAAAGCTGACACACAGTCCAGCCAGAACACTGACATTGGGCTGTGTTGGTGACCAACATTTTTGTTTGACCCACTAACTTGTAGCTGGTGGCAACTGTGTCAAACTAATCCTAACCCTAACTTTAGAAACAGAAGAAATGTATAATGTACAACATTTAATTTAAAATATCCAGCTGTAACTAGGCAGAAGGGGATTAAATGAGTGTCATCCCACTGAAGCAGTATGGTCTGGATTTATTTACTCTAATCTGAACTTTTCAGCAGTTAGAACCAGTGGTCAGGTGGTGTGCATTTATTCAGGTTTATCTGTAAACCTGCCTGTAAACACAATGTGTGTAAGTATCTCTCTGACCTATGTTCTTAAAGGTACACTGATTTCTCAATATAGATGCAAGTTTAAGCTCGAGAGCCGTAGTCTTTACGACATGAGATAAGAGGTGCAGATAGTGGGAAGAACAAGAGGAGACAGAGTTTGTAGTTCAAACACGAAAAACAAAATAGAAAAGATGGGGAAAGTGAACAGGAGATGGAAAATTAAAGCAAACAATTTGCATCAGATATATGAATCTTTTCAAACTGCAGACACCTTTGGCTACTGCACTGCTAACAAACTGTAACCCTGAGAAAATAGTCTTGGCAATGCCCACATGAATACAGTAACACAGACGTCACTCTTGTATGTCTCATCAACCTCAGATGCGGTTAAGAGGAAGATCCTGGTACTGGACTTGGATGAGACGCTAATCCACTCTCACCACGATGGCGTCCTCAGACCCACAGTGCGACCGGGAACACCGCCAGACTTCATTCTTAGAGTACATCCACTCTCCCTATGTTTTGCTCCAAATACAGTGAAGTTTTACCGAGAGATTTATCCTGTAACCTCACTGTTTTTCTTTTTTTCTTTTTCTCCTCAGGTTGTCATTGATAGGCACCCAGTAAGATTTTTTGTACATAAAAGGCCACACGTCGACTTCTTTTTAGAAGTGGTGAGTATCTGTAGCTAAACATGAGGCTAAGCTTAATCACAGTGCTTTAATGCACAGTTTCTGTACAGAAATAAATAACGTGCAAAATAAAACGACAAATAATTTAATTCCAGAAAAGCCGGTACATTTAGTATGTGGCCAACGTTACTACTGTGAAGTGGAGCAGAAAACTGTGTGTGTGTGTGTGTGTGTGTTTACCAAAAAGTCACCTCAACACCTCATCATCTTTTTCATTCCACTTCTTTGTACTTCACACTTGTCTCCACCTGATGACACGTTGCTGAATATGTTTTGGACCATGCGCCTTGTAGAGTTAGTCAGCACTCGCTGCAGTTTGTGTACTTGTACTACTGTTTGCTGTATATTCTGTGTGTTTACCCAGGTGAGCCAGTGGTATGAACTGGTGGTTTTCACAGCCAGTATGGAAATTTATGGCTCAGCAGTGGCAGACAAGCTGGACAACAACAGGAACATTCTGAAACGTAGATATTACAGACAGGTACTGCATTGGAGAACTGTTCTTTTGGATCGAAGTTTAGTTAGTTCAAGTTAGTGACTACCTTTTCTCTGTCTCTTTTCAGCATTGTACTTTCTCTGTCTCTTTTCAGCATTGTACATTGGATTTAGGTAGTTATATTAAAGACCTTTCTGTAGTACATGATGACCTGTCCAGTATTGTTATCCTGGACAACTCGCCTGGTGCTTATCGTAACCATCCAGGTAAGCTATGAATCCTTTTCATCCAACTGTGTTTGAGCTCACCGTGTACGGGAAAAGTATGACATTTAAAGCTTTAAGGTGTAAAACACAAACATCTACATGTTGTTATTTGTGATTCTGCTACAGTTATATACAGACAAATATAGGATTGTTGATTTCCCCAATTAATTGGGATAATACCATCATTAGTCAATACTGGTCAACATCTCATTGATCCTGGTTCACTTTGTTAGTAACATACACTATATGACCAAAAGTATTCGCTCACCTGCCTTGACTCATACTATGAACTGAAGTGCCATCCCATTCCTAACCCAGAGTTCAATATGATGTCGGTCCCCCTTTTGCAGCTATTACAGCTTCAACTCTTCTGGGAAGACTGTCCACAAGGTTGAGGAGAGTGTTTATAGGAATTTTTGACCATTCTTCCAAAAGCGCATTGGTGAGGTCACACACTGATGTTGGTCGAGAAGGCCTGGCTCTCAGTCTCCGCTCTAATTCATCCCAAAGGTGTTCTATCGGGTTCAGGTCAGGACTCTGTGCAGGCCAGTCAAGTTCATCCACACCAGACTCTGTCATCCATGTCTTTATGGACCTTGCAACATAAAATGACTACTACTACTAATAAATAAATATTTGTCCGTGTTTCCATTTTATGTGTTAATGCTATAATACCAGCTTGAAAATGCACAGCTCTACCTATAGAGCTCCCAATATAGAGTGTATAGTTATAAACAAGTAGAATAATTATACTACTTATTCTAATTGTTAATATGAATCTTCAATAAAACAGCTTGTTCTGGTCACCAACATTGTCATCTCATGACAAAGAGGAAAAAGGGACAAACGTAAAGTAGTTTTTTTAGTGTTTTATTATAAATACTATAAATACAGTGAATCAAATCTCCAGCTCTTCCAAAACAGCATAACAGAAAACACATCCATCTCCACGATTTTCTGACTGGACCGACTGACCTTTTTCTCTCCCCACAGACAATGCAATACCAATCAAGTCCTGGTTCAGTGACCCTAGTGACACAGCACTTCTTAACTTGCTGCCTATGCTGGACGCACTAAGGTAGAGAGCCATGACAGAGTTGTTTTCTTTCACTACAGTGTAAGAAGCACATGACCTGAGTTCATGTCCGTGTGGTGAAGCAGGGAGACGGCTGAATTTAACTGGGCCTGTTCTTTCTGCTGTATTCCTGCAAAGATTCTTGTGTTTTTTGGTTCTGCTTGATTATCTCCAGTCCACTGTATGAGTACTAACTTCTCAAAAAACAACACAAATGAAAGAAAGAGTTAAGTCCAACGTATGGTTTACAACCACGTACAGTGCCGCATGATGACGTATCCATCCATGCCACTCACCAACTAGTTCCTGTAAGAAATTTGTTTTAATGGTGTACATTGGCATAATGGAACCAAACTTTCTTTGGGAAACTTATGGGAGGCAACATAACCACGATGACCTTAGGGAACACGTAGGGGCAGGATGCCGTTGGGGGACAACACCATTTACTGCCAGTGAATCAATTAAGTAATTTATTTCAATTTCCCCAAATAATTAATCTAAAATAATAATTAATTATAACAACACAACTACAAAAGTAACACATGATGTGATCACAGCACTTTGAAAATTAACTTTGAATAAGTTTTGTTTAGAGAACACTACTTCTCCAAAATTCCAGCTAAGACTTGTTTCTATGATGCATTCACAAACCAAACTGTAGACGTTAGTTTGAATTACACTGGGGTATTTTGTGCCGTTTAAGTGGTATTTTGTATGGATTATTAAAGTAGTATTTGGTGATTCCTTAGATAAGTATCAACTCACTTCCAGTCATAACGTCTTAATAAGCTGATTTATATACTATGCTTAATCAGTCACTTCCTGTTAGTTTGACTACTTTGTTTTTTTCGTCTCAGGTTCACTGCCGATGTACGCTCCGTCCTCAGTCGAAACCTTCACCAGCATCGGCTCTGGTGATTGGCTGAATGAAGAGATGTGGGACTTGTTGACCAGCCTCTTCCTACCTGCCGGCTTCTTCCTTGCCCAGCATCCCCCCAGCTTCCTACAGACGACCCACCTGCCCTCTTTCTCACACGTGTCCTAAAGAGAAGAGCGTTGGGGGGGCCGGCTGCAGAGCATGGGATGTACGAACAGTATGGGATTTACCAGAGCCCCAAAACTCCTGGGTAGGGAGGGTGGGAGGGAGAGCCCGCTTTTTTCTTTTTTCTCTTTAAATCTTTATTTGTATTTTTTTTTTCCAAAACAAACGGAGCCTTTTCTGCCTTACAGCTCCTGATACTGACTGTGTGTTTGGAGGTGAGCTTGTGTATGTGAGAAAACTGTCTGAGTTGATTAGTCTTTAGAATCTTTTTGGAAACTGGGAGAAAGAGAGATCAGCACAGCAACAAAGACTGATCCAGTCCTTATCAATACTTTTTCCTCTCCGGGCCACTACCGGACATTGCACTTCAGCAAACAACTCATCAAACAGGGAGAAAATGGGAAGGGCATCCTATCCCAACAGTGATTCACTAATGTCAGAAGATACTGTTTTGTCTGTTTTTTTTTGCCCCGTAATGAATCATCTCACATGAAGTAATTGAACATTTTCTTGAAATATACCACCCTTTGACATTTTCCTGGACAAATAGCCTGGGCAGTCTTTTTTATTAGTATTATTATTATTTCTGTCTCTCCTCAGCTATCACTCTTTTCCACAGAGCTCCCAGTGGGACTCAGTGATAAAGGACTTGACTGAAAATGTTGGGGAAAGAAAAAGAATGACTTGTGACCATATTTGGACTGTTGTGCCGCCTTTCCATATCTGATTGTTTTTCTGTTCTCCATAGTACCCCACTCATGATGGGTTTGACTATTAGACTTCTGTCTTTGAATGCCTTCTGAACAATAGCAGTCATGTTAGGGCTGACTGGGTTCTCATTGGCTCTGTCTCCAGGTCTGTGTTACTAATTAAACACTTGTCAGTATCGGCCAATTCTTATCCTCTCTGTAATTTTTGTTATTGTTTAATTTTAATGTATTTCGTCTTGCAGCCTGCCAACTGACCTGGTTTCGTTAGGAAAAGAAATATGGAAAAGCAGTAATTTTGCGGTGGGATTCAGACATTTTCGGTACTGCCCTCATGTGGCCAAGAAGGAAACTGCACTGCTGCTCTTGGGTCGGGGGTTAAATAAAACACCACTAGTTACTACTTACTTCTTTCCAAAGCATAAAATGCTGCTAAGCATATCTCCCTGGATATGGTGGCACACGTCATCGAAGTTGTTGTTTTAACATGAGAATGAGACTAAGACATTTGTTCATTTTGTCATTTCTACTGAACTGACCCCACTGATGATAACGACCCCTCGTCGGCTCTGTCTGCACTGACCTATCAGCTGCAGCTCACCAGCAACCGCTGGTGGCAATGACCACATTAAGGAAACAGCTGCATCATGCACTCACCACGTGGGTTTAAAAACCTTGTTCATACTCAATGCCAAGTGTATATATACACAACGTGTATTATGCCCCCGCGCTCGTTAGGTGCAAAACTTGTTAACTCATCGGGTGTAAAGTTTGCGGAAGTGTACCCAAACGCATGTGTATTAGGGGAGTATTCACGGGTGCAGTGTTGCAGCTCATGTGCGCCCATTTATGGTATGGCAAGAGAAATAACCGAAATGGCGGACCTCTGGAGACACGGCTGCAGACAGTGCCCACATTCCACGCTCCCTGCTTCTCTGCCTCCGTTTGCACTCCTTTTCTGAGCAGGCTCAAAATTATGACATCATTCACCGTCGCCATGTTCGTTAATATCAGAGAAACGTCTTGCGTCGGCCCGGAAATGAACTATGTACTCGTACTGCCCTCTAGTGGATGTGTGGCTTTAGCAACCATGCCGGTCGGAATGCACGCAGAGTAAAGTTTTAAACGAATGTACGTCTTACATATATACCTATACACACAAAGACAGCAGTGTTAGGAAGTACTGAGCCTGAACGAGTTGTCTAAAATGAGGGTTGATGTCAAACGCAAAGTCAGAGCAGCATTGGCACAGGGAAATCCCAAACTACAACATAACACAAGAAAGAAAACTAATGGGAATGTGCCTAAACTGTTTAAAATAACTGCGATGGCATTTGTGAACGACTTGGCACCGACTAAAGATTCAGAAATACAATTATTACACGCCTGCGTGCATAGCAACAAGATTACAAAATATACAGATAAAGTATTAGTGACCACTAGCTTTAGTTGTAAATAGTGATAGTACAAAGTATTTCACACCTAAGAACGCACAGTTATTTTTTTAATCAGTGACTCAGCATATTTTACCCAGCACTAAAAACACATTTTTCTTTAGTATCACAAATGTTCAGTGTTCAAGAGATAAGATTTGAGTGTATACTGGAAATTATTTTTAAGCTTCAAAACTACTAGTATTTTATCAAATAAATCCGTCATCTATTTTCCCCATCAGTAAATTAAATTAAGCTCGTGCATAAAAACATGCACACACCCTAAAGTACATGTTGATTTTTATTGTTCACAGTTAAGTCATAAGATCAAGTTTAAAGAGGGAGTCACAGGTATTAGTCATGGTCACATGGTCAGGGTGTGTTCAGTTGGACTCCACAGAGTTGTAGTTAATGACAAGTAACCCAACAGCATTTCTTGGAATATCATAGAGATTAGCTGTTGTGCAATGATGAATGAAAATGACATTCATCATGATAATGATCTCTTTGTCTTCAGTTTTAAATACTCGGCATATCCACCCAAAACCAATCCACAGGTCATTCGTGCAATATTTAATTGTTTTTCCCCCTTTCCTAATTGAAATAATTAAACAATTGCTGTGCTACTAATATTGTACGAGTAATTATATTACCCATTACATACTTTTTAACTGGCATCTCGTTAGTGGCAGCTTTTATTCCAATGCAGTACGTTCTCAGAGCTATCATGAATGTGCAGGTGCAGGCATTACATTGGTTTAAATCCAAAAGTTCAGTCTCTCAAACAGAAACTATGTTAAAACCCAAATAAAACCAGGTATTTGCATTTAGTTCTTGACACTGGAAATGCAAGCTTTTCGGAACAGGACTGAGAACATATTCTCAACGGCTCCTAACAGAGCTTTTACCAGGCCAGTTGCAGTATACAACACAGATTTATTTGTATTTTTCTTGACCATATTCTGAGATTAGCACTTCCTGTCAGTATGGATTGTTGTTTGTTGTGTTAACTGCTAATGGGATAAACTTTTGGAATAATTCATCCTGAATACTTTCCATCCATCTATCTATCTATCTATCCATCCATCTATCTCTCTCTCTATCTATCTATCTATCTATCTATGTATCTATCTATCTATCTATCTATCTATCCATCTATCCATCCATCTATCTATCCATCCATCCATCTATCATCTATCTATCTACCCATCTATCTATCTATCTATCTATCTATCCATCTATCCATCCATCTATCTATCTATCTATCCATCCATCTATCTCTCTCTCTATCTATCTATCTATCTATCTATTTACTTTACAGATTCCCTAGGAGACTAACATAAGCTAGCAATTGCTTATTGGTTGCATCAGGAAGTGGCAGTAGAAGTGTAAGGCTGTGGGTTTGTTTCTGTTTCTTTTTTTACTTTAAAGGATTAAAGACTACCTTTTCTTGATCAAAGTCTTGAAAGACAAAACAAAAGGCTAACGTTAATTGCTACCTGCAGTATATCAACCCCCACCAACAGAATGACACAGCAATCAAGAGCATCTCAAACTGACACACACAGCTGTAATTCTATATCCCGTGTAGGCTGCAAAGTCGATTGTACAATCCTCCGTGATGCTAGTGACGTTTTTTCTGTCTGTGGGCTGAGATTACAGTCAACACTGAGCCGTGAAGGGAAATATTATCACATGTTTTGCGGCTTTCCCTCAGTTTACTGCTAACACAATTGCTGGGCCGCGGTCATATGACAAGGACAGATGCCTGCTCACTGCGCTCTATCCGGTGTATTCAACCGCAAAGCTTGATCAAAATAAAATAGTACCGCAAAAATAATTGCAAGATTTAGTCCAACACGTGACACTCACCTTTGGGCACTAATAAGTAGTTGTTATAATTATATACAGGGAATTTAAAGTTATTCAAAATAGCAAAAAACACCCCTACGAACTAGGCTCCGGTCGACGTCATTGGTGTTGTTATTGTATCCATCCGCCGTACTCGCACTAGAAAAACAGCTGTAGCTAACGAGTTAGCATCGTTTGTTTTTGTCGTGTGTGTCAGCGATTTGACTTTCTCCCCTTGTACAAAAACAACCGATATCGTACGACATCTACAGAGTGACCGACTTGTCGTCTGTCATCTCTCTCACCTCTTCAACATGAAGTTTCAGTACAAAGAAGAACATCCTTTCGAGAAAAGGCGATCCGAAGGCGAGAAAATAAGGAAGAAGTATCCAGACAGGGTTCCAGTGAGTAGCTAACGTTAGCATTCTGACGCTTATATGTTTCACAATAGCGTATTTTCGATGGAATTGGTTTGACAATATATATTCACTTTAACATACACACAGTTATAATTATTTCAACCAGTAGCATCGTATATCATTTTCCATATTCCTTGATTTGTCGTGTTATCAAATGCCAGAGTTTGAGCAACAGAATTCCGACCGCATCGAATAGGCCAACCTTTTCCTTAATGCTTTATTCTTTCTTTTATGCTTCTTTATTCTTACTCGGAATAGCAAAAATATTAATATTGACAGCCATAAAACGATAACAATAATAAAAACATAATTGTTTGTTTTTTGTGTGTGGATCCTTAATGCGGTTTATTTGTTTACCTTATCGGCTTCTTGCTGTTGTTCAAACTGATCGATTGTGACGTGACACTTTTGAGATTGGCTGTGTGATGATAACTATTTATTATTTTAAACAGACACTTAAGGAATGTCTGTACAGAACAAGTGAAAAATATATAAATAAGCAAAACACCAAACAGAAAAATCCCTAACGCCTTAGGGCGATCACAGTCTTCTTTTTTTTAGGTGTAAACTATTTATAGTCTTTATCACAGTCTTCTTTTGTTTTAGGTGTAAACTATTTATAGTCTTTTTACATATTGTTGTTTTTCTTTTCTTCTCTGTTTATGTGTATAATTTGTTGGAAACAGTTTATTATTCAGCACTTCATCTTTCAACTGTTTAGAAAGTTGAACTTCTTCTGGTTTCTGGTTCTAACCTCTAACTTTTACCCTGCTTTATTTTCGACGATAATTAATAGATGTGAAAATATTGTTTTGGTTTGAATCCTCTGTTGTGTTTTTACAGCCTGAAACCAAAGTGGGTCACATGAGCAAATACCAAACAGATAATGTGTTCTTGTCCCAGAAGTATTTCAAGTCATTCGATCTCCAATTATCTTCCAAATGCCAGAAATTATTCCTTGAAATGTAACATTTTGGGAAAAGAGAAAGAAACTGACACAGCTGTTGTCCATGTTTGACGTGTGTGCAGACAGATTGTGGTCGTACGACATGACGGGGTGTAGTTGTAGGTTGTTGAGCCTGTGTAAGAGCAGTGGAGTCAAAATAGTTGCAGTCAACAAACCGCAGCTTGTTTGCTTCACCCTGCCTCCTGTAGATACTTAGTTCACAACCTTTGGCCCTTTGACGGCCACTCTGACATCAGCGTTTTTTGACTGTCTGTAAACCACCTCAAGCAGTTGCAGTTGACAATAGCTGGAATAATAACATTAAGTAATATCTACAACTGACTGACTACATGTTCAAGATCTCTAATACGTGGCTTCTAGGTTTGTGGGCAGCTATTTTTATTCAACTCCTCTTTATAGACTGAAGGGAATAAACATTTCATTTCATGCTCCTGGGGCATTCTTCAACAAAACCTGGGTCTGAATTGTAAACCGATATTCTGTCATATTCACAGATCAGTTTCCAGGGGAAGAGTAAAGATTGTCTGTTTGAAACTTCCCACTTCATAAAAGGCCGTTTCGCTTTTTCACTCAGTGGAACATAGACTCGGTCTACTGTACTTAGAACATGTTGTTGAATTTGTTTTTCTATATTTATTTTTAGGTAATCGTGGAGAAAGCCCCAAAAGCCAGAATAGGAGATCTGGACAAGAAGAAATACCTTGTTCCCTCCGACCTGACAGGTAAACACTGTTTTATTTACCCCACGTAAAGGTACAGTTCATGAAAATAAAGTGTTTAACAAACAGGATATGGCATGCCCCTTTTCCTGCAGGGGGTGCTCTTAATGCAGTTTGAATGCCCTTACCTATGAATTGAGTGCAATTTGTTTTTCCCATGAATAAATGATAAATGTACCTTTTAAGACTAGGAGTTGGTTACTGGATACGACAAATGAACCTGAGGCAGCTGGGCTCAGAGACATTCTGATGCAACGCTCGTCTCATTGACTTATAGAACTTGAGGGTCTTTACATTTCCTGTTATATTGTTTGGATTATTTCATCTGTGTTTGTTGCAAAATTTAAAACTTTGTAATATTTACAACTACATCCACCACTCAGGGAATCATTGAATTTTGTTTCTGGTTCCAGTTAATGTTGAGTGTGAAAAATATCAGCATAATCAACGATCTGTTTGGAGATTTAGTTTTGAGACAATACCTGTATTTCCAATTTTTGACACATTATCACCAAAATCGCTCTTGAAAAGAAAGAAAACAGAAGGATTACTTTTGTCTGCTTATGTAGTTTGATTATATATGACGTTCGTTTATAGCTTCATGTTTTAGCCTTTGTTTTTCCCACATTTCTTTTATCCAGTGGGCCAGTTTTACTTCCTCATCCGGAAAAGAATCCACTTGCGAGCCGAGGACGCTCTCTTCTTCTTTGTAAACAATGTCATTCCACCCACCTCAGCCACCATGGGACTCTTGTACCAGGCAAGTGATACAGTACACTTGCATGCTACACATCTGAGTAGCTGCTTAACAATGTGTGTTGTTCCATTGTGTGTTGTCAAATAAAAGCCGCCCTCTCTGCTAACACCTACTGTCTCCTCCTCTTTCTCAGGAGCACCATGAAGAGGACTTTTTCCTCTACATTGCCTACAGTGATGAGAGTGTGTATGGGAACAGCCAAAGGGAAATCTGATCCTTCTACCAACCCCCTCCCCCTCCGACCACTACCCCCCTCTTTCTGAGACCTCTGCTGTTCATTCATTGAAATATTAAAAATCCAGCTCAGCAGCCTAGAGTAAATATGTCAGAAGCACTTTCACAAACATGACACACATCTCCCATGTCTTTATGATTCTTCAGTCTGAATTGTATTCATCTCCGAACTCTCTTGTAGTATGACTCTTAGGTGGCCAGTTATTTTTTTTTTAGTGTCAAATGATCGTGTTAATTTGAGAAAGAATTGAGAATTTTAGCAATAGGCTGGGTTTATAGATATAGTATGTGAGTTCAAAATCAACTTTTCGTCAGGGTTTAATAACCTGCAGGAGAAAAAAAAAGCATTGAGTTTAATGTAATAGATGATTTAAAGTAAAACACTTATAGTAGCTGAAGGCAGATCACATTGTCTCTGGCAGAGTAAAGGAAACTGTTTTCCAGCAGTTGTTCTGTGGCTGGAGCGACTCCGGTAAATTTTTCCTCATCTTAAAACTCTAAAGTCGCTAAGGTTTGTGGTTGAAGGACAGTTCAGTGGGCTGCCCAGCATCTGACCATAGTATGGAGTGTAATAGAATTCAGACTAAAACTAAATCATCCTCTGCTTTCAGTGGTCAAACGCTACTATGAATAATGTTGTTATTATTTGTTAATTTTAGATGGCTTAGTTTCTATAAAAAAAAACAACGATGTTGTAAAGCTGAGTGCAGTTCTCTTTTTTTGTTTTGTTTCCTTTTTTTTAAAAAAAAGAAAATTAAGATTTGAACTCTGTATACAGCTGCATTACTGGCTCTTTCTCTCCACTCATGATCATACATGATAAAATGTGAAAAAAGCAAATCTGTGTTTTTGGTTATTATTATACTCAGATAGAACTTGTACACCAAAAATATTGCTTTCAATGTAGAAAAAACAATGTTGTGACTAATGAAATGAATCCCACAAATGTCGGAGTGAGCCTTTATTACTGACCTGGTATTTTTTTTGTTTAAAATACTTTTTGGAGATCAATCATGAACAACACATGTCAACACAAATACTGTATGAAGTTTTAATACAACAGACAAATAGGTTCAGAATTACGATGTCTAAAGAGGAGCATGTTAAATTATTAACAAGAAGACCAAACGTTAGTGGACTATAAAAATATATAGCACCTATAGTGATCAAGTAAAATACAGGACAAATATAATGTTTGATTGGGAAAATGTGGAACGGCTCATTAGATCAAAAAATGCTACCACATTTTTATTAGACTAGAGTGTTGATTTTGAACAATGAAGTTTGCTGGACCTTCGCCAGGGGAAACGACCTGACCAACTGCACCAAGGACTCCAGCTGCAAAGACCACAGTGCAACAATACAGACATCAACACCCGTGCAGCACCATATCCCACTGAGTACGCTGAATACAGCTCAACTGCTGACTGCACTGACTTCAGGATTCCACAGTGAAAATGACACAACAACTACACTTACTGCAAAGACTGAGCAGCAATGCCACAGTGTTTGCACTGTTAACCAGTGCAAACACTGTGGCATCGACCTGACTGTGATTCAGCTGTAGATCAACGCAGTAATGATCACAAGAAATATTAATGTAATTGATTATTATATGATGTTCGCGTAGTGATTGACAGAAGAATTAGTCCAACACTACATCCACGGCGTTCTTTCTGTATTGGCCTCAACTTCACTCATTTATAGAGAATTCTCCACTAACATCTAACTTTCTGACCTGACCCTTTAAAAAAAAAAAACAGAAGTTTTGAAAGTTGGAGCAAGCCCTTCAAGAATCAAAAAGCAACCAGGGCTTTTCTATGGTTAATTAATGAGGTGCATTCAATGAACCAGGTGTGTTGTGTAAAACATTAGTTTCGCTGTCATTTATGAAAACAGCGATTCAAATTGTAGCTGAAGCTTAAAATGATCTAATTGAAAATTTGAATGTCTAGAAGTTTTATAAATTAATGCACTGCAATTTACTGTTGAGTTATCCTTTGCAGTGAAAAAACGTTCAGGTACTGAATACAAGCAAAATTAGCAAAAGAAAAAGTGCTACCTGAACCTACTTAAAAGAAAACACTACTGAATTCTAATTCTAATTCATCCATTAACCCCCTCAGGTCTATTCTCGTGTTGTCTTTTAAACTACAATTCCCAGAGTTCAACAACCACGCAAACTACCCGTTCCGCCCTTGACACCGGATGTACAATTGTGGCATCCGGTCTGAATGGCTATTTTGCTGTTAATGTTTTATTGAAAGTTTTGATTATTTTTCTCTCATTTCCAGAACACACTGACTTTTAATAAAACCACAGGGGCGGAAAATTCTGATTTTGAGAGCCATCAATCGTTAAAAGTAAGACGTTTTACCTTTTGTCATAAAATCAACGAGAAAGAAGTGATTGACGTTGATACAAATAAATACGCAGTAGTCGGGATTAGCCGCTAGCTACAACGATAGGTATTGTGCAGATATCTGCTACTTAGTTTGATTTAACCATCATTTATTTTTTGTGATGTATTTTTGTGTTGTGTAACATTAATGTAATTTCGACCTATGAAATACACATTGACTTTGTTAAATTGGAATAAAATGCACGACTACCAGCTGCAGCTAACAATGCTAAGTTAGTTCTCAGCCGGTTTGAGGACAGCCAGGAAACGTCACGCTTGTCTCGGTTTTGCTGGTTTATCGGTTGAAGATAGGTGCAGCATGATTTTAGACAGTATTTAATGTGTTTGGTTTTTGTTTTTTTGACGGAACCTGTAATTGTAACCTACATCAGCTGGCCCCTCCACTGCCCGTCACAATGCCCGCCCTACTGGAGAGACCGAAGCTGTCCAACGCGATGGCCAGAGCCCTCCATAAACACATCATGAGGGAGAGGGAGCGTAAGAGACAAGGTCCTTATTGTTCTAATATCACTAATAACTGCATTAGTCATTTAAAATCAATTTTGCCGTTAAATATCGCGGTTGTAGTTAATTAACATCCAGAATAATGGCGGTAGACTTTACATGGATTCTCCAGTTTCTTTAAGGACTTAGATTAAAATGTTGTTGTTGTTTTTAATATATACTTTTGTATTTCTGAAAAAGTGCATGATGTTAACCTTGTTGTTTGCTGAAGAATATCAGATTACATCAGGTTTTTCTGCTACTACTTAAATTATACATTAGAAATAACAATTAATGCTTAATGGAACTTGATGAGAAAGAGCTTTAAGTGCATTTTTCTTTCTTGTTCCCTTCTGTAAGCAAAATAAATGATTGCAGTTAATAGAGCCTGTGCATAATATTCCAGAGGAAGAAGAGGTGGACAAAATGATGGAGCAGAAAATGAAGGAGGAGGAAGAAAGGAAGAGGACAAAGGAAATAGAGGAGAGGATGTCATTAGAGGAAACCAAAGAACAGGTTAGTGAACCTAAAACAATAGAAAAGCGTCCTGTACATACAGGGTGTATGTTTAATCATGGTAATAGAATTGAACTCGGTGTTAAAATTTTGTTATTCCCAAACCTTATCTTATGTCCAGGTGATGAAGATGGGTGAGAAACTTCAGGGTCTCCAAGAAGAAAAACACCAGTTGTTTTTACAGCTGAAGAAAGTTCTTCATGAAGAAGAAAAGAGACGCCGAAAGGAGCAGAGGTAGTTGGTCTTTTGATTTTTCAACATTCTGGTCGTACTTCAAATGTCCACAATATTTGCTTTCTATCCTGTTTTTAGTGACATCACAACGTTGACATCAGCCAGTTACCAGCCCAGTCTGCAAATGCATGCGGGGCAGCACCTTCTCAGCATTCAAGGTGAGAGGTTTCAGTATTTGCACAACTGGATCACATCTGGAGTCATATACTGCAGGAACCTGTATTTCCTTCCACAGCTCATGTGTGCCAGCTGATTCTCATTTCCTCTTTCAGGAAGTCCTGTCAGCCACAGTCGGTCTGGACCGCTGCTGGGAGAACGAAGCAAACAGTTGTTTCCAACTGCCGTCATTCCCGTCAGTGGAATCTTTTTATTTTATTACAACTGTTTTTTGGTCTGTCACTAGGGCTGCTTGAATGTTTTTTTTTTTCCCTACTATTTATAGACACGTCACTATCAGACACCAAGCTTCAGCTCGGCCTCTGCAGAGCACGGCCAGTTCAGTGGAGGTCAGGGGGTCCACGAGCCGTACGGAGTGGCTCAGCCCCAGCACCCGTCCACCTACGCACCTGGGCCTTCTGTACCTGTCAGTTTTGCCAGCAGTTCTCAGATCAGAGGTACAGAACTTTGTGGCAAGAATCAATTTTTGGGGGGGATTAAAAATCTGTTTTATTATTGTCATTATTCTAATTAAATGACTCATTTTCAGCTTAAAAGTGAGAAGTAACAAGACCTTTGCTGTCTTTCTCTTGTAGGAGCTTCTGCGTTCCAGGCCATGCAGTATCTCCCTCACCAACAGACTGGTTATCCTGTTCACAGTCACTTCACCTCACAGCCTGGTCAGTAGCATTGTTAAAGCCTCTGCAGCAGAGCAACTACAACATACAAGCCTGATCACTGTCCCTGAAGATGCATTAGACTCAAGTATCATTTTTTCTAGCTGGTGTCTTTGTTTTAGGTTACATTCCAGGAGCTGGAATCCCTCTGCAGAAGCAGCTGGAGCACGCCAACCAACAGTCAGGTTTCACTGATGCTGTGAGAACAATTTAAATTCTGAAATCAGTGTGGTTATGAAGTTGATAAAATAATGTTGTGATATTTGACCAATATAAAAATAAGAGCCCAACTATTCAGAATCATTTTCATCCCGTCTCTCCTCACAGGGAGCTTTGAGGCCAATGCATCCACCAGCCATGCATCCTTCTGCTCCAGGTCTGCTTCCCACGCCGTCCATGGCCGTCCAGATTCCAACTGCTAAGGTAAACTGCACTATGCACACATTTCTTTGCTGTCTAAAACATTTGAAGATTAGAACTATATGCACACATTTCTCTGCTGTCTAAAACATTTGAAGATTAGAATTGCCACATTTCTTTTACAACACAAGAGAGTTGCATTTTTGCTCAAATGAATAAATGGTGAATTATGGTGTAAATATTGTGGAGCATTCTTAAGATCAACCTGTGATTCATATGCCATTCTGCAAAAGATGGTGAGTATGTTTTAAGTCCACAGTCATTTCAGTTTTTGTTCTTTGTTGAGGTTTTAAGGCCATCATCTGTTCTACTGGGCAGTTCTTTGGCTCAGGAGGTCATTTATTCCCTATCTTTTTCTAAATTATGCCGTTCCTCTTCCATTATTATTCAGCTCTTCACTGAAATATTTCAGAGTTTGATTAATCACCATAATAATTCTCTTTTCAATTCGTAACATTGTACGTGTCAGCCATTTTACTGTTCATCTTCCAAAAAGTACTTTCTTGGCTTTTGTCCAGATAAAAAGACCATTACTGAAGTAGACAGTATGGATACTGCTGATTTAAATGCTGTCTAGTGTAGAAGAGTCATTTCAGACATTTCAGTGAACCTCCCAGATTCAAACCCACATCCTTCCACCTGATAGTCTTTAAGTCTCCTTAAAAGCAACACAGGCACTTTCCCAAATTTTCTGTCATGAAATATCAAGTTGTTAAACTAGCAGTCCTTTGTTTCTGTACTTCTGTTTTTAAATACTGTGTACTGTAGTATGCCATTTAAAAGGTACATCTTGCTTGTCCTTACTAACCCCCCCTTTTTTTTTTTCAAACTGCCCCAAATTTGTGATGGCTAAGATTCAACAAAATGCTGGGAATTTCCTTGAGTTTTTGTTCCTCAATGACATGGTGACATCACACAGTTGAAGTGTGCACTGTTTCTTCTTCTTTATACTGCCTGCACTGCTGCCACGTTGTAGCAGTTGTGACCTGCACTGCAGACACTGAATTAAAACATTTTCAAGGGTTGGGCCATGACACGTGACTGTCTGTCATGTTGCTTCATGTCTCCACCTCCAGGCTCAGTTCCAGAGCTCTCCTCAGGCCGCTCCCCGCCACAGCTTCCTGCCCCACAGCCAGGCTGGGCAGAGGTTCTACCACCACGGCAAGTAAGCAGCCAACAAAGCATCTGAGCCACTGCCACTCCCACTCTCATCACAGCTGGGGTTTCACAACTTCCTGTTCCATTTGAGACAAACCTGCAGGACGAGGAAGTACCTGGCTTGATTTGAAAAGATGGAAAGATGCCACGTCTCTGATGTTTTATTTCCTGTATAGCTTCTGGTTTTGAGTTGTGTTTCAACTCCATATGGAGTCAGGCTTGTGTTAGCATGAGAAATCCCCAGACTTGTTTTAAAATAAATCTTATCTTTACCCACACTTGGGCGTTGACAGAATAACTGATTTGTCAAGGCATCGACCTGACCTTAAAATATTATATACGTGGATGAAATCAACACAAGTAACGCAGCCACAAGACCACAAAACTATTGTAAAAGAAACATACAGTAGATGCTCGACCCCAAAAATTTAATAACTGCAGAAAACCAAGTTTCATTCAGTTTTGTTTCACTGCTTTTATGTTGCTGAATAAAAAAAGACAAGTCAATCAACAGTTTGTCAACTTTATTTAGACTGTTTTTCGTTTTTGTCATGGAGACATTCTGCAGTTTGGGCTTGTTGTTTTGTGAGCACACAAAGCAAAGATTACCAAACTGCCACAACTTGTCTTCCTACTGCAACGTCACTCAGCTTTTTGAGATGATGCCAAATAACACGTGAGTCATTCATCCAAGCTGTGCTCTGCGTTAAGGCCTGCTCTCTGCAAACAGTATTTTCATTTTTCTTTTTCAGTGTGTAAGGATAGACTGGGGTTTGGTTAAAGGACTTCAAAAAGAAGACAACTGGTTTTGTTTCTCAAATTTTGAGATACAAGCGAGCTGTTGTGAGCCATGTTGGCAACCTTTCTTTGTCAGTTGGTGGAAATTAACAGCAGAAGTCTGTACGTATTGAGAGAGAAAAAAGCCAGAGTACGAAGACAGAACCCTGTACGACAGTCGCAATTGTTGTCTCAACTGAACAAAGCAGACGAAGCCCTTGATAAACTGAGAACAAAGAAAAGGAAAAAAAAAAAAGGATTCAATGCTTCAATGTCACCACATTACTTTTCTCTGATGGTAGGTTCCTACTGAATATTTGTAGACCTACTCAGTTATTAGTGAGAGACCTTCCTCTAAGTGCCTTTTTACATCCAAAAGTCTAGACATTAAATGCTTTGTGTTTTATGTGCATACGTTTTAAATTTTCATTCAGAAATTCCAATTCATTTAGTTGTGACTCCTTAGTTGAGGTTAAAAGGAGAGTCAGAAAATAAAGGCAGGGAGGAGAGACTTTGGAAACCGAAGGTGAATAGAGACAGAATAGTAGGAGGATAGCATTGACAAGGCAACGACTCCTCCTTTTCCCAAGGTCCAGTGCATCTCGTTTTGCCCCTGAAACACAATTACATGGAGGGGAGGAAAGGAGGAGAGAGGGGGAGAAAAAGTCAAAAACCAGAGGAGGACAGAAATAAACACCACAGAAACATATTTAATGAAGCAACTGGTTTAAGCACCCTCTGCAGGGTGTGATCTGCATATACATCAACTTACATTTTCGTATTGCAGAACTGTTTTTCTGCAGCCCACACTTTGTAAGAAATTGCATAAAATGAAAACAATCTGACATGGAAATTTCAACAAAGCTACAAGTTGTTTGTATTTTTCTTAGTGGGAAACCCAGGAATGTTACATTTGGTAAAGATCAGGCTCTGAATAGAAGTAGAACCTACAGAAGAGAAAGAAAAAGAACTACACCAGAGCTTAAAAGACATTATGAACTTCAAGCCTGCATATAACCTGATAATGCTACACAAAAATGTGATCATACACATGGTTTGAATAGTGTTTACAGTAAAGGGAAAACAAAACACAACACATCCAGGGGAATGCAAGTCCACTGTAACATGACTTTCAGTCCAATTAGTAACATTTGTTACATTGAACACAATTCAACATGTAACTTAATTGCAGTAACATATGGAAACAATGGGAATATTCTAAGGATGAATATTTGCAAAACTTTAAGAGGTAAAAAAAAAGCAAATGGTCAAGAAGATAATGATGATAATATTGTGTTGTTAGCAAGCTAATTGTTCCATCTGGACATACAAATACAATCCAATTAAAAGCATCATGGCTAAGGTTAAGAAATCCCCAATCCCAATCATGAAATATGTGAATTTGCTACAGTTAAATAAATGCACCTTGAGAACCTGTTAAGAAAAAAACAAAACCACCACCAATCTCTTTACTCTCACTCATTTCTTCATGATGTCATTTACTGACTTCTAATGCCTCTGTGCCTGCATTGGAGTAGGCATGGAAGGTCCATCAGGGGTTTGTATATAATTTGGACTTTTTTTGGTATTATTTTACACTTTGTATATGATCTGGTTGCCTGGAGTTTTTCACTGTGGCTGGATGGGAGTGAATTGTTTGTGTGTACAGCAACCTGGTCACCTGTGTCCTCACCGGCGCTGCGTCAACGCTGATGATTACACGCACCAGGCCGCCAGCTTATAGCCACCTGCCTGTCGTTGGCACAGCGCCAGATGGTCCGCTTTACCTATGTGGTAATCTTTTGGCTCTTTGAGTTCGTCCATGCTCATCGTCACTTTTTCTGGGATTTTTTTCCGGCCCACCCACAGTTCCTGGTTCGTGTTTTTTTCCCAGGGTGTTGGATCCTTTTACCCCTGACAGCCCTTAAAATATATATATACATTTTTTTATTAGGTGCCCCCTTCACTCCAATGGCATGTCTCATCATTATCAGCATTACCATCATGACTTTCCCGAACCAGAAACCTAGGATTGACCGAACTGTTTGTGACGTGAGCTGTGACACAAGTTTGTACAAGGACAAATGGAGTAAAGCAAGCTGTGAGAGAGGCCAAACACTGGTACCGCAACAGGTTTTAGACTGCACACCATTGCAGACTAAAAAGGAAAATGTCATATAATGGTTTGTGTCAATACTGGGACATCAGTTCAGTTGATCTGTACCTCTAATTTGACCAAAGTGTACATGTAAAAGCACTGATGGATGCATAATCAGTGGGGCTTCGAGATACGAGTTTAATCTGTTCCACAACAGCACTCGTAGGTCAATCCTCTCGTATCTCGATTTTATCCACATTAAAAGTAACTAAAAACCAATTAATTTGTTCCAACCGCCAGAAATATACTATTAAAATAATAATAATTAAGAGGGTTTTTTTTATATTATTGTTATTCAAATGGGTAAAATAACCCAGTGAGGGACAGTGAGGGAGACAGCGCAACAGTGTCGAGGTCACTAAGGTAGAAAAAGGACAGAGTTAGGACTGATTTAGATGATAGAAAGAGAGAGAGAGGAAAATCTTGCAAAAGTTGCTTACTGGTAACCTGGGAAATTTTGTGTAGCTCGTATCTCAAAGCCCCACTGTACATGAAAGTACACACTGACATGGCACATGCTAGTGAACTGTGGTGTAGCACACACTCACATACATGACTTTGCATACTGTAATACACACAAACATTCTCAAGCAGGCTGGGTTTGGATGATAGTTGAGGAGTGTACAGGGGGGTTGGTATGATGCAGCTGATGCCCAATCAGCTGTAGCTCTATAATTACCTGCAACTGTTTATTTACTATTTAGGTTTTTGATACCGATGGCAGCTTCTTCTTCCATTGCATTTAGAACAGTGATCTGAAAGAGTGGAGAAGAGGTGGAAACTGTGTGTTAATGTAAGTGTAGTCAAATTGGCCCATCCATTCATCTTCAACTGCAAGCTGACTTAGTACATAAATGTAGGAACTTGATCTTGTTGTGTTCACATGGTAAAAAAAAGACCCCGAGCTCCTTTTGGTCAACAGTTCCACCTGGGACGAACACAGTACCAAGAGAAAGACTGTCCAAGCTGGGACGCAAACCTGTCACCTTCTTGTTGTGAGGAGAAAAACATTGGAGGAACTGTTTTATCAAAGTAAGCAGTAGTTTTCGCAAACTTAATGTAAGTTTGTTAAAAAGAACAAGTTAAATAAACAGCGGCAACCACAGCTGTGAATATGCAATCTGCATGTACACAGCAGATTGCATATTCTGTTGCTACTGTTGCTACTAGACTTTCAGGAAAATCTAATGAAACCTGCACTTACAGGGATCAATGCTAATTAGCGCTGCAAAAGTACTGATAATAACACACGTCAGACAAAAATGTTGTCTATTCCAAGTTCATCTCTGCAGTTTCTTAAGTGTAGTTGGACAAGATCTATTTCAGGAGCAATGATGCCCATTTGGCTGTTAGCAGGAACAGCACTTTTTAAAAACTTGCTAAAAGTAGTATAGTGTTCCCTCTCTCTAGTTGCGTTCCAGGACCCATCACGAAAAGGGAAAATCCACGAGATCATTTTTTATAGAATTTCTGTATATATTTACCCTTTACGAACCTCCCCCACATTGATATCAACACTCCCTAGACTGTATTACCCTTCCCCCCACACAATTATATGCACAATAGAGTTGAAGAATGGGATGGTAGAATGGAAATATAAGACATACATCTTACGTAAATTGTAGGGGCGGGGCGGAGGTTAGCGCAGGTTAGAGCACGGGAGTGGCGACGCAGCCCCGCCCGCAGGTGAGCGCAATTGGAGTAATCCAGCCTCTCCTTATATTAGTAGGAAATGGTACTGAGAGCGTGAACAGAGGAGTGATACTGGGCAAAACGGACGGACTGTATATGAGAGCTGGGAACAGCGCACATTATTGTAAAGAAAGATAAAGGCTGTTAACTGTCATCTGTGTCAGCGTCTTCGTTTGGGCTCCGTAACAGAAGCCTGAGAAGATACCGAGCGTTTAGGAGGCATCGTGGGGCGTTAAATTAGGGTAAACCTTCACCAAACACAAGAGCACAAACTTTACAGCAACGTACAAGTGGCGGACAGACAAGGGGAGAGGCTGAGAGATGCTACGATGCATGAGCCAATCAGCGTGAGGAACAGAAGAGCGTGCTCAATGCTGTGTTCGAGCTACTCTAGGTAAACGAAGCTACCAGCGATGTCTTTTAGTTTATTTTTGTGCTATATTTTTACTGTTAATTTTTTTAGGTTATGTTTTGTATTATTAAAATAATGAAAATATTGGAAATTAAAAAATATATTTCCCATAAAAAACCGCGATATAGCGAAACTTCCGCGGTACGGATTTTAAAAAATTCCACTTTTTAACATCAGCATTTTAATACAGTAGCGGTTTAATTAAAATATTAAATGTAATATAAATGTAATATGTAATATAAAAATGTGTAATTCTCAAATTTAATGAAAGCAAATAAACCTAAATACTAAAGCTTACTACTGCCGGGAATATTAATGTTATCCTGTTTGTTATATACAAAAAACCCCACAAAATCCTGAGCCACAATCATCAACATTAAAATAGGCAATTTTTGGGTAACAGCAGAAACATGATCAGCACCAAGGAGTGAGGTGAAGGTGAACTGGATTTCACCAGTGTCGGCTGTTAGCGCTGTGTAGCATAAACAGATGTTTACAATAACAAAAGAAATATTATAAAACTGCGTCAATGCACAATAGAATAATTGTCAATGTAATTAATTAATGAGTTGAAGCGATAACGACGTGTACAGTTGCCTAACCCTATGATATGTGTGTATGTGTTTATTTGAATTTGAGTCCAAATGGCAATTATGTTTTTGTGTTGAACAAAAACTTTTTTTTTAATATGGCTTGACCACAGATTATAAATGGACTTAATTCAAAGCATGTGCATGATCACATTCTATCACTACGTCCACTACACCCCCCTCTTTGTCTCCCTCCCTCCCCATCGAATCCTCTAGCTCTTTGACTCAATGGAAAATGTCTTTGTGAACATTTAAGATTTGTATCTGACTAGCCTTGAACTGTGACACTTCAAACTTAAATGTTGCATTTTGATTTATGGCTATTAGTTGACATTCGAGTTTTACCAAGCTGTGTTGGCTTCTTAGGTGAATACTTTACATAGTACAATATCCCAGAGTACATTGTTTTCTGCAGTGAATTCTCTTTGGCATAAGGTAAAAAAAAAAAACATTAGACCCAGCATTTGGTGATAATGCAGTTCTTCAGAGCTTTTGGCAGTGTCATGACTCTCACTCAGCAGCTTATTATCCTTAAGGCAACAGACACTGAATTTGATTCATTTTTACTAGTGGATAGTTGAGTTAACTGCAGCATGGAGTAAGGGTAAAAGCACTGACCATAATCTCCTCTCCACCATCCACCCGACTCTCAATGTCTTTGCCCAGATCTCCCTCTGGGATCTTCAGGTCCTCTCTCACGTCTCCACTGTCCCGAAGCAAGGACAGATAGCCGTCTTGGATCCCAATAAGCTGGGACAACACATAGGACAGGAATACAACATAAATTTGAGTAAACTATTGGGGACAGAACTAGTTTAAAACAACATTGAGAAGTGCTAGGAAGACCTTCTTGGTTCTTTCAGTTGTCTTACCTGGTAGTCCATCCTCTTGATATTAGGGACGTCCATGTTATGTGTGGAGGGACAAATATCTTCATACTTCTTACCAGTAAAGATGTCAATACCAACCAGGTGGACCTGGGGACAAAGATGTCTATCAAATCATCCAATGTGTAAAACACAACATTCACCCTTCAGCGTTAACTAACATACAACAAATACAACAAAGAAGAAACATTTTTCATGAAGATTTCATATTTGGGTCCCCTGTTGAACATCTTTGTCTAGATACTGTGTTCGTCCCCGTTTATTTTCTCTTTAAATCAAGGTAAGTGCAGTCCAAAACTGCTTTCTACACTTTATGTTGAGTTATCCATGTGCACTGACCTTAGCATGGCCGTGCTTGCCAGTTTTGGAGGTGGACATCTCCACGATCTTGCAGGGTCGACCCCTCAGCACAACATGGCCATTTTTGCGCAGGGCAGAGCACTGCATGGGGTAGGTGGCAGATGCACCAGCATCACCTCTTTGGAATTCGATGTCTGCATCTGCCATGGCTGCTGAGAGGCCCAAAGTGTGGAGTGTTATGTTCAAAACAACTGGAAAAACAGCAGCAAGAGCAATTTTTGATTTCGCTATGAAGTTGTCCTTAACCTCCACCCTCACACTTTACTGTTTTGACAGAATAACAAATTGTCTAATACCCAGTTGTTTTAAAAAAATAAAATAAATTCCATTAGGGAAATTAGAACAGTGTCCAATAGGAGTAGGGCCTGGGTGCAAGCATTTTCGGACCCTGAAGCACACCCTGTTACCAGAACTATTTGTGTTCCACTTCCATGGCCTTCACTGATGGTTATGGTCCATTTCTAACATACTGTCAGATGTGATGTATACATACAGGTGTCCAGTCTCCACTGCACTGTCTCTCAACTTATGAAATATGCAGAGGATGTGTACACTCCATCTGATTGTCATCTGGGTTGCCCAATAAAAGGCTGACAGAAGCACACCACTAGACTCACATTTAAGGATACATGTCATTCAAATACAGTCACTGATTATGGATTTTTTATACACAAGTCATTTCTATTTTTTCCTAAATGGCGTTGTGATTACTGCACTTACATAATGTTCTTTCAAGCAAGAAGATCTTAACTAGCCCTGTAAAATAATGATGAATTGAAATTTATGAATCCTTTTCGTAAACATGTTAAGTTGTGCATTTTCTCTGTATTGTTTAACGACATTAACTGTTTTAAAGCCACTACTAGCAACTAAAACATAGATAGATAGATTAAAAAGAATAGCTGCCTTTATATATCAAGAAATAGCTCAACATACAAAAGAGTAATATTTGGCCAAAATTAGATATAGAATTAATAGTATTAAATAAAATCGTTGATATAAATAACAGGCTAATAAAAAGCACCTAACACAACATGTAAAAACACCTGCTTTATCTCAAAATGTTAACATACATATGTATATAATAGTCATAGTATGATTTTATTTATACGGCATATGTATACAAGCTATAATATTCGGAACGTCTTGTGATTAGCCTTGACTGTGTAGCACTGTACACTGCCACGAGTACAATGACAGCCAACAACAAAAGTTTGTCATCGAACTCACAAAATTAAGCATTATTAGTCATATTATAGCCATACGAGCCATACCCACTTAAACAACTCAAAGAGTTCAAGTTGCTGGTTTTGTTTGCCCGTCAACGTGTCTAGTCTACTGAGGACACATTTAAACTGGGCCGTTAATCCGCGCTTAATGACTCATAAATCAAACTTCAAGCTGATGGTTGACGTTATTGAACGTCTACCATATTGTCATTAACAGAGCACTGTGCGTGGAGAGAAGAAAAGAGTCCTACATTTTAAAAGGTAAATATATCTGCAGTGAAAAAGAAGGGAGCAGACCGCGGCCTACTACGTACGCAGGGTGACGCGGCCCGTAGTCTGTAACGTGTAACGGTATATCTGTGTTCCGTATTCCTGCGCTGTGACTCACTGCCTACGGGCCGAGGACTCAGAACAAGTAAAAAACACAGCACATGACTTTAATTACCTCATTTATTTTAAAGCGAACCATACTGTTAATTAGAGTCAATATGTATCCATAAAGTGTCTCCTCCAGCTTAACCCAGCTACCACCGCCACGGCTGACATCCTTACATGACACAGGAGGCTCATAGAAGTCTGGACGAACTACAAGTTCAATCATAGTCACTGGTGATCTAGCTAATTTTCTTTGTTTTTTGCAAAAGACAATCCCACACAATGAAGTAATAAGTTAGCAGCAGCTGTACGTATTGCTTCACCTACTCCTACCGTTTCTTAATACGGAACTTACCTTATTATTGGAGATACAAGCTCTAGTCAACCTCCTCTGCTGTTTCCTCTTATTCGTGCCGTCCGGTTAACTAAAGGGCGGTAGCTGGACTCAGTCTCCTCCTCTGCGCCTTGGTTTAGCCCCCCCTCGTTTAGACAAAGCTACCGCTGCTACTATATTTATTCCACTTTCATTCCACTCGTCCTCGTCAATCTCTCTCTCTTCCTCTTTTCTCTCGTTCCCTCAGAGCCTGGTTTGTGATCCGGATTGCAGATAGCGATCCGGGGCTCACGTAGTGTAAGCCGTCGGCCCGAAAAGAAATGTGAGCTTCCACACTCTGCGCTAACACTAACACTCCTCTATGATTCTCTGTCTCCCTCCCTCGGTCTGTTGCCGGCACTGCACTTCTCTTTCAACCTGTCACTTTAAATGCTAACTGAATGATGATTATGTTGGACTGTAGAAGACCCTAAACTTCAAACTTGCAAAGGTAATTGAATAATAGTCACCCACCTTTGATGTGTTGTTGCCTTTTGTCTTTTGTGTGTCAAGACTGACAGTGTTGTACAGAGTTAGTGAGCAGATAAGATGAACAACCAAGGGTGTAAAGCCAGCAGATAAACTTAGAAAAAGGGTTGAGATAGTTTCGATGTGTACTAAGAAACGGTAGAATATAAAGTCAGAGGATGTTAGAGCAAAAGACAACAACCCTTGAGGGAATTTATGAATGTAGTGAAGGTGGACATGAAAATGTTTATGATGAATCATAGATGACATGACATGACATTATAGAAGAGGACACCAGACATAGAGTGAGAAGGAGGCACATGTTCTGAAGGAGAGAAGCTAAAAGAAGAAAAGAAATCAAAAGAAAAAAAGTGCCTCACTGCTTTCTTCAGTGCAATAGAAAATTATAAGCCTTCATCTCGTCTTGTCGTTATGTTTACCTCTATTCTTTGATTATAACCTCCAATATATTTTTCTATCACTATAAGCAACTCTAAAGTCTAGACTTAAAATTGTACCTGATTTAAAGATGAATTTTTACTAAAATAATATGAAAGATTGCTGAAACTCTTTATGCCAGATATAATCCTTAAATGCAGTTTTCCATTTAGTATGATTCATGATAAACATTAAAAATGCAATTTAGTATGATTCATGATAAACATTAAAAAGAGACAAGGTCTAATCATCCAGTCATTCTCTATTAGCAATACAATAAACAAAACTATTAAATGTGTCCATTTATTCTAGGTAAGATAATAGTAATTATTGTTATGGTTGTGCTTATAATATAAGATGACATGTCAATGTCAAACATTCCATAGTTGTAGTGCATGATGTGCTGTTTTTCTCAATAATGTAAAATTCCATTTTAATTTTTTCTTTAGCTGGCTGGTTGTTTCTTGTCCGTTCTGTATTCACACTAAGCATCTAATTAGATTGCAGTCTCAAGTTAAAATAAATGTGCTGCAAATTCAAAAAGGCTCATCATGAAGGTGAAGCTGCATCTCCTCCTCTCCTCTTGGCTAAGTCCCTGCATCTTAATGTGGTTTTCATGCCAATGGGAATGACATGATGCTTAGTGAATTGGTCCTGCGCTGACGTATTCTCATATAACATGGGCCCCTCAATCCATTCTCTGTCCTGACTTCATCTACTCCAACACATACCTTTGTTAGTGGCGCTTTGGCCCAGAGGCAATGTCTCTGTCATTGGTGTGGAACCCCAGGGTTCACCTCCTGGGCAAATTCAAATCCCAGTTAGGGCGGTTGGTACCTTCCAGTGGACTCACCACCTGCAGGAAGGTTTAGGGCGGTTGGTACGGTGCAGTGTGATTTGGGTGGCGACTGCTGCCCCTGTGACCCGGTAACGGATAAGCGGATGAAAATGGATGGCTGGGCATACCTTTGTAACGGTACAGACCATTTTGGGATGATATACTGTGCTATATATTGTTATAGAAATACTTAAAATTACTGCGGGAAGTTAATACACTGAATCCCTACTGGTATGGTTAAATTAATCAATGTTTGCAATTATTGAAGACTTTAATAATGTTTTGTGCTGACATTGGTTTAAAGAATGAAGCTGAGTATACTCACTGCCATGTCCACTGTGGTTAACAAAAAAAGTATAATCACTGCATTTGTCAAAATAATGTAAATGAAGTATTTCATGGTGCTGTTCAGTGTAAACATTTCTGAGTACAAAGTGTTCTGACGCTAACTGTCCTATTAACTGGCTGTAAAATATGTCCATTTAAAAACGTACACATTTCCTTACTTTCCTGTTCAGAAACAGTCTTCTGTGCACACACTGAATAGCTTTGTTGTAACTTGTTGTTACTAGAGCTGAGGTTAAATTTAGTACTGTGAAACTGGAGTCCTATGACCTACGTGTGAGAGCTGTATTTGAGGCTGTCGTTCATTCCAATTTCCTACATGAATTTGTTGTTCTTTGAATACTTCAAAGAACTAATTTGCAATGCAGTTCACTATATATTTTTCCCAAGAGCAATAAAAAGGTTCAAAGTTAAAAATGGTAATTTTTTGTATTATAATTTTACAGAGCATCAATTGGTCCCTGTCTCTGTATATATTTTTAATTTGAATCTCATTGACTAACTATTACATAGTTTACCATATTACAGTATAAAGTAACATACAGTGTCTATACATCCAGCCATATTTTAGCTGTTTCTATGTTAAATCTCAGATTATCTAGCATATTTTTGCCTTTTTAAGCTATTGTCAGGCTAACATTTAGTTAGCAGAAATAACAAGGCTTAGGCTATCTTTTAGGTACTTCTAAAATAAGTTGTGGTTATAATATGACTAAATTTAACTAGATTATGAGGCATCCCCATCTTTCTGATTTACATCTACTTATCTATGCAGCATCACCTATTTGGCCAAACTATTTAGGTTAAGGTTTAGCCTTTCTATGCTAACTTTTTACTACTCATTTCCGAATTATCAATAATAACTTATCTACTGTTTATTTTATAGTGCAATTTATTTTAAACTACTATCTAATTTATCTTTTGTTTGCTTTTAGTAACCTGATGTTTGAGTGAATATTTCTGAATATATAACAACTATAAGGTACGTATTTTCTAGGTACGTATTATCTACTGGCTAATAATTAGCCAAAGATAACCTACTTCTTGGCATGGCAAAAATGACCAGTAGTTACCTGCCCAAATCTTGGTTGTTTAATTTTAGTAATGTAACCACTTTTACAAAGACTTTTTTATGATAAAAAATGTATATATCACATGAAGAGAAGTTGCAGAATGTGGCTCATCTCGAATAAAGTTTGGACATAGCTGCCTTTAAGGAGAGAAACCAGAAAAGTCAAGTACAAAATTAGCATACAATTAGTTTTCTCTTGAAAAGTACAGTCAATTTAATTTTATAAAGCCTAAATATTCCAAATACATTATAAAAATCAAAATAAACAACCAGACTTCCTTGCCGTCTTTACCTGTTCACCTGTCCATTTCCCTCACAATTGCCCGAGACTCTCATCCAATCAGGAGGCAGCTTATGCACCTGCGAGGACCAATGAGGGCGCGGCCTGAGCCCTGCAGCGGGAGGGGATGTTGGGATAAAAACTTAACCGTGCTCTTCAGAGAAGTTTCGGGACCAGCAGAGGGAGGAGGGGACCAAGAAGTGAACCGACAGCGAGAATGATCGACCCCGAGGTGCAGAGCGCTCCACGGTCGGCAGAGGCTGTGGAGGAGGAGAAGCCGCAGCAGGAGAAGAAAGTGATAGGTAGGTGTAGAGGAATTCACGGTGATTATGAACTTTGGCCCTTGAGTTAAACCGCGTTTAGAGTGTTTTGATTTACTTATATGAAGTCATTAATATGTGTGATCTGGGGCAAATTTAACAAATAAAAGCTGGGCAGAAAAACCCCCCCAAGTCATACGTCGTTGTCTTGGTTCTTGTGTTTTGTTGCGGTCTGGAGAAAAACACGTGCCCCTCACACGGGTCAGCAATCATCTGTGGCAAAAAGAAAATATTTATTCATTATAATCTTATACAAAACGTAGTTGGCGCTACGCCTCTGTACACGGACATTTAACGTGATGAAACTAAGAAAAACTTAAACTAAACCACTTCCTTTTGGCATGTGGAGGCTGTGATCACGTGACTTACATCTACGTATTGGGTCGCGCGCACAGCACAGGTGCAAATCGTTACAAATAAACCAATTCAAACAAATGTCCCTTTTCCCATTGCCCCCCTACGTAGGTTTTATTTATTTATTTATTTGGTAAAATTGTGTCTGGTTCTAGGTGAAATGTCTTGTCTTTTTATCGAGGTATATCTATGGAGACCCTACCCTGCTGACCTGATTTCAAAGTTTGAGCTGTTAATGATTGACAGGAGGCATCGGCCTCCATTGACACGCATAAGATTCACACTTTTACGGCCTGAAAGGCTGTATATGTGATAGGAGTTTAACAGTTAGTCCGTTTTTACATTGAACAATCTCAGTAGCAGTTTGGTTGATGTTTGCTTTTTTTTTTTTTTTTTTTTTAAGGACAGCAAACTAAAGATTTTGCCTTAGGACATTACTGTTTGACACAGCTTGTGAAGATGTTAAGCTCACCATCAAAACAATGAAGAGCTTTGTCAGTTTCCTGCCTTTTATTGACCCAGTAACTTGTTCCAGCGATTTATTAAAAATATGTCTTTAGCACTGGTGGCTGTCAAATGTTAATGTCATGCCCTTCTATTTTTGTAGCCAGTCTAGTTCAAGGCACAGTGAAGTGGTTCAACGTTCGTAATGGCTATGGCTTCATAAACAGGTAAGAGCTACCTTTTAATAATCAGTGAATGGTGTGACTAGAACTGATGATTCATTTGAAGGAGTGTAGTTTTGATTATTTAAACAATAAAAGGATAACAGCACCCCTTGGGCAACTTGTTAGCATCTAGTCCCAGATCACGTGCTCAGGTTGGATGGTTCTTGGATGGTTCTATAAGTTGTAATGGCAGCTTATTAAAAGGACTGAAACTATCTTTGTGCTTGAGCATGTTGTGATGATTTCTAAATCAAAGCAGTAAGGTTCATTTAATAAAATCTAAAGTGTTTTAATTGAATTATTTCTCGCAGAAATGACACCAAAGAAGATGTGTTTGTTCATCAGGTAAGACTAAAGAAACTTCATATCTTAAGATATTTTGAATAGTACATTCAATAGTTGTTTTTTTTTTTTCTGGGCACCAAAATTGTAAACAACTCATTAAATTAGCTTTCTGGGCATCAAAATTGTAAACAACTCATTAAATTAGTTTTTTTTTTTTTAAAAAAAGTTCATTTTAATGAAATCAAATATCCTTTCTACTACTTTTGTACTTTTTTTTTTTTAGAATGTTTCCATTTGTATCTTGAAACATTTTTTGTATTTATTTAAATTTATTTCAAAATTTTATATTTGCATCTCTTTCTCTTAAAATCTGTCTCTCACCTCAGACTGCAATCAAGAAGAACAACCCTAGAAAGTTCCTCCGCAGTGTTGGGGATGGAGAGATTGTCGAGTTTGATGTGATTGAAGCTGCCAAGGTATGACTTACGAAATCCAGTTAATGGTACATGCATTTTAATTAGATTAAAATTTATGAAGAAAGCAATTGCATAATAATTAAATGAATCAAAGCTTTCATTAATTTCATTGACACCAAACATTGGTTTCACTGTTTTTTGTTTTTTATGTCACCAATTGTGACACAACAGCAGAAAAGACAAGGACTAAATGGCATAAAATGTATTGAGTGGGAGATTAGTTGGTTGTTGTGGTTTCTCTTGGTCCTGCTTATAAAGGACAAGTTGTTTCGGTCCATATCCTAATAGAATATGTAATATCTATTATAGTTTGGTTTTGAATTTTCTGAATTCTGTCTCTTGTTCCTCAGGGATCAGAAGCAGCCAACGTGACCGGCCCTGGAGGTGTTCCAGTCAAAGGGAGCCGCTACGCACCCAACAAACGCCGCTTCCGTCGACGGTTCTTCCCTCGTAGCCCTCGACCCGGTGACCAGGACAGACCTGCTGATGGCCAAGTTCCGGCCGAAGGCGAGGTATCAGGGGAGAGCAACGGAACGCGACCACCACAGCGCAGACGCAGGCCCTTCAGACCACGACAGAATATACAAGATGTAAGATGAATCGAGAGGATGAGGTACTGGAGGGAGAAAAATGTGGGAGGAGTGCTGCAGGCCACGGTTTTTGAGGATTTGTAGGACAGAAAATGAAAATGTAAAAAAATGACATTCAATAGGAATGGATTTCATGTTGTTGTCAGGGTGACTCCACAGAACAAAAGAATGGAGAAGCAGAAGGCGAACAAGTGCAGCGGCTGCCACGGCGCAGATTTTGGCGTCCTTATCGGAGGTGACTTTGATGCCATCGTTAAAATATCCTTAAGGATAATTTTATTTCCACTTCCTCATTGTAGAAAATGTTCAACTGTGGCTTTCCATGTATGTGCAGACCGTTCAGGCCTCGGCCAAAATCGGATCAGACTGGAGAGGACCAAGCAGCAGCTCCAGAGCACAGTCAGGAGCAGGAGGAGTTGAAACCAAGGGAGGCCTCCGAAGGCCCACAGACCAATGGAGAAGTCGGTGAGGCTCAGAAACAACGGCGCCAGATGAGACCACGCAGACAAAGAAACTCTGAGTCGTCTGCTTCAAAAGTGAGTTGGGTTGTTTTAGTGATGGACATTGTAGCATTTTGGAAAATATATTAAAAAAAAAAAAAAAATATTGCACGTCAATGTCTATTACAAGATGTATTTTCTAAGTGAAAATTACCCACAATGCAGAGCAATAATGATATAATAATGTTTTTGATTACACTGCAGAATGACACTGAAAAGTCTGCATCAGAACCTGGGACCATGCCTCAGAATTCAAAATCAGCTGACCCAAAGTCTACACCTAAATCTCCTAAAGCACCAAAGTCACCTGAGGTGAGGCGTTAAACTCTTACACTCCCCCCCCCCCCCCCCCCCCCTTTTTTTTTTTTTTTCGCCATCTCATGTTGTATTGATCCAAACTTGGTCTGTTCCTACTTACAGCAGGTCATCCCAGCATCGGCAGAGTCGCATCAATGAGATGACAGTCGTGTGACCCTTGGCAAGAGGTGGGATCCTGGGATAATCTGAGGGTGTCGGGGTTACCTTCTGCACCTTGGCTCACTTTACTAAAGACAGATTGCAGTAGAATTGATGGGTTGTTTAGCTAAAGGCATTTATAGATGAAAGGTGGAATTATTTTTAAAGTGTTAAGTTTGAACCTTTTTTTTTTTTTTTTTAAGGTTTAAAAAATGTTTTGACCAATGTCAAGGGATGTGCACTTCCCTCTTCCACATAATTCCTAGATGTAAGTAAATGGGGAGATTTAGCTAAGTATATTTTGTTTTGGTTTTTGTTTGTTTTTTGTTTTTTTTTTTTACATTAGCTACAAGCACACGATAGTGTTATTTGTTTAAACCTTTCAAATGCACAGAACTGAAAGTGGGTGAACAGGAGATGACCAATGCTGTGACTTGGTCAGATTTCCTGTCATTTGTAACGTTCTCAAACTCACGTCAGTCTTTAAATTAAGTCTTAAAATGGTTCTCGACAATTGAGAAACATTCCAAACACTTTGATCTTTGGGAACTAATCTAGCTCTGATCGTTCATGAATTTTTTTCACTTTAGGTTTTGATAGTTGTCGTTAATGTCCGTCTGTCATCCTCTGTGTCTCTGTATGTTTTATTTCCATCTTTGTCTTGCTCTCTTGTAGGTCCTTGGGTTGGAGGACTGGACCTATTTCAGAACACATGCACTGCTCTCCCCTCTCCACACTCCCCCCATCCTCCAACCCATTTCATCTCACTGTCGTCCCCTCGGACCCTCCCTCCCTCATTTTGTGTTGTTGTCATTCCTCAACTTTCGATGTATGCAGAGGGATGGAATAGGATGAGGAAATGGTTTGCTTGTGGGTGTATTAATAAAATTAGAATTAAGAAATTAAAAAAAAAAAAACATCCTTAAATACTTGCATACATCTGCTTAGAAGCCCAGTTATTCTGTACCCCCTTTTTGAAAACAGTTTTTCTTTGACATTTTGCGCCATCACATTGTGTAAAGGAACCAGCCTTGATTTTTATTTGATATTTTTGGGTTGAAGAGGGGGGAACCAAGCAGATGAGGTTGGTGGTGCATCATGGGAGTCAGTTAAGTTGTTGACACCTTGGCATGTTGAACATGCTACTCCCTTTATTGTCCTTGGTTGAGGATATGTTGAAAATAATCTTTATTTCTGTTTTACTTATTTGTGTATTTGTGTTTTTCTCTGGAGGGGATAATGTGCAATGTTGTTGTGTTAAAGTGCAAATGAATAAATTGTGTTCGCAAATCTCCGCCTTACTCCTTTTCCTTTTTGCACAATAACGGACAACTGCCAAGGCCTCTGGGGTGACATTATTTACATCCTTTAGTTTTCTTGACCACAATATTACAATATTCACTCTTTTATCGCAGCCCCCCTGCCCCTCCCCCCCGCACGTCTTACAATCATTCACTGCGAAAAGAAAACATTAAAGAACAAGCACGTCTTCTGCAGAAGGGCAACGCCTATAAATTTGTTACCTTAGTCTTTCATTCTATTGTTTTTCTAAAAGTTTATCCTAACAAAGCCAAACACTAAAGTGTGTGAAGACCCTGCCCCCTTTTTTTAATAATTATATCTGAAAAACACTATGTACACTGGAAGTAGTAAAATACTTTGTTACATTCACTTTCTAAAGGTTTTTCCACATGCTGTGCAATGACTGGCCTTTTGGGGAAAATAGTTGGAGCAGTTTGGCTTCACCATAACCCTGTTATGGTTATGACAAACAAACAAAAAAAAAAGGAAAATTCTTCTAAAAACCTAAAGAAATTTAAAAACTACCAGAAATCAAACTTAATTAAAACTATAATAATTAAACCATGATTCCTCCCTGGTTGAAGTTTGTGCCTTTTTAGAGCTGTTTAATTCTGCTTCCATAATGTTCCCAGTTTAGATCAAATAAAGGCAAGCATTAACAACTTCATGCCTTTTTGTAGTTTTTATGAATAAAGTGCAGAATATTGTCTTCCTCTTAATTGGACAGTACTTCAAACATCTGAGTTGATGCTTTAAAGCTCACCACACCAGCAGCAGCTACCTCCACAGTAGAGACCCTCCTTGTGTGCATCATACCCTTAAGAGTATCATCTCTCGACCTTTAGATGAAGCGGTTGGCATTCCTTAGACTTCACATTCTCTTACACCTTGGACAAATCAATAAGTTTCAACATGAAATGTTAGATGTCACGAGCATCACAGCAGTTCAAGTTTTACTCTCTCCCTCCAAGCTCTTTAGTTTATGCTTGCTTCTGCCAAGCAGTCCAGCTCTGTGCCTGTCTTATCCATGTCCATGTCCATTCCCATGTCCATGTCCAACATTCCTCCCATTGACTGACGCTGGAAGTTTGCAGAAATCTGGTCAAAGGTCTTTCCCCGTGTTTCTGGTACTTGGAAAAAAGTGAAGATGAGGAAGATGAGAAGTAGAGCTGCAAAGATCAGGAACACGTATGGTCCACAGAGATCCTGGTGTTGAAAAGACACAAAGATATGCATATGTTAATATGACAGCCTTATAGAAAATACACACATCCTGGCAAAGTAAATACTCACAGCAACGTATTGGAAACACATGCCGATGATGAAGTTGGCCGTCCAGTTGGAGCAGCCGGCCACTGCCATCGCAGCCGGCCTCGGACCTTGGGAGAACAGCTCTGCTACGAAGAACCAAGGTATGGGACCTGGGCCCACCTCAAAGAAGGCAACAAATCCAAAGATGGCCAGCATGCTGATGTAGCTCATCGAGGGCACACTGTCCTGTCAGTAGTACAAATGACAGAGGTGAAATGTAGTGTGGCGTCAACAGTGGTACAAAAACAATTCCGGTTTCTCAGCCTGGACAGACTGACCAGTAAAGCCAGAGCTGTTGTCATGACGATGGCACATATGCACATCCCAGCAAGTCCGAGCATGTGGAGCGTCCGTCGGCCCGTCTTCTCTATGAGGAAAAGCTGTGAACAAACGTGTTTCGTTTTAAAACATACAATATGGAATTTACACACACACACAAACTAGGAAACTTTTTGGACCAGAGCATCTCAAGCTTAAAATACCAATTCAATGTCCAGCATGTGTTTGTGGCTTCAACCACAAACCAGAGACACATACATGTACCTGCTGTTATTTGTCAATATACAGAAAGAATATTTGTCATATTTATAGTGATATTGACTTATCTCGATTAATCATGATTAATCGAATAATTATTGGTTAAAATGGCAATTTGTTTTGTTCATTTCTTATTATTTATTAGGTACACATGTCTACTGTAATGCAGTGACTTGATGATTGTTGGTCATTTAGTGAAAGCCCTGCTGGTGACCTCCAACACTGTTGACAATGTTCTGGATTCAAATATGAGGGGAGTATTTCCTCAACTTTTCAGTTATGATATTCACTCTTAGATGACACTGTTGAACAGTAATGGAGACTGACTGTTGGGCTGAGCA